TTATACTAGTAGCAAAATACTGTTTTTTTAAAATTATTTTCTCAGTAGTGTAAGTCAATTTTAGTCAGACAACAACGTAAATTAGCCATGTTACATTACTTTAAGTAGTACAAGAAATTTTTAGTCAGACAAGAGTGATAAATATTCGTTATTACAATATTATAAGTAGTAGAGGCAAGTTTTAGTCAGACAGAACTTTTTTTAAACTCTTGTAGTTGTGATTTAAGTAGTAAAAGATTATTATTTTTAAATTTTATCAGTAGTCTAAGTCAGTTTCAGTCAGACAGAAAAAATTAAATAATATCATTGCAGCAGTTTAAGTAGTACAAGAAAGTTTTAGTTAGAAAAAAATATATCATTATTATAACAGAAAAAGTAGTAGAAGAAAGTTTTAGCCAGACGAGAACGATAAATATTATTTTTAGATTAATATAAGTAGTAGGGACAAATTTTAGTCAGACACAACATTTTTCAACTGTTTTATAAAGTCACACTTGATAATTATTTTGGTTACAGTAGTTAAGTAGTAGAGGTAAGTTTTAGTCAGACATAACTTTTTTTCAACTCTTGTAATTTTATGGTAAAAAAAATATTTTTAGTTTTATCAGTAGTTAATGTCAGTTTTAGTCAGACAACATCGTTAATTAACATGGTTATATAAATAAAAGTAGTACAAGAAAGTTTTAGTCAGACATTTTTTTTTCATCAAATGTAAATGTAAAATTCCACTGAATGCAAAAATTAAAAAAAAAATAAAAAAACTAAAAAAATTTAGAAAAGTAATGAATAAAAATTATTTTTATTTAATTTTAAATAATTTTTTTTTCAAAAGTAAATTAAGTTAGTGTTCTTTGATTTTAGCTAAGATTGGATTAATTTTTCTTTTTTGGTCGTTTTTTTCGACGACAAAAAAAAAAAAACTTTGAAAGCAAGTTCCAATGCCAATAAATCGCACTGCAACCGATAAGCTAGAACAGTAGAAACTCGAAACTGAATTGCTTCGAGAAAGGTGTTCATCCTTTCAAAAGCTTCTTCAGTAAAAGAGTTTCCCGTATAGTTAATCCGTGTGATAAAAGAAATTGAGAAGGTAGGAAAAAAAGAGAGAGAGAGAGAGAGAGAGAGAGAGACCATAAATTTTCACTCTCCTAAATTCGCCATAATTCTATTCTTTCACGAGAAAATTTCCGGTCAAGCAATTTTTTTATTTTTCAAACTTTTTTTCATAGTAAAACGGAAGTAAATTTTTTGTTACACAAATAAATTTTGAAACTAATAATTCAATTTTATATTTAATTTAATTTAATTTTTTTTTATTTAATTTTATTTAATTTGTATAAACAATTTAATTTTTAAATAATTCAATTACAAAACAATTGTTTCTTTTAAAATGAACGTTGCATTAAATTAAATTAATTATTTAAATAATTTAAATTTCTAATAAACTTGAAACAAAAAAAATTATATATTGTTTTAATTTGACACGATTCAAAATCTCTTAATGCTTAATAAACTTATTAAATAAAGCATGACCATTAGGTAAATCGAAGCGACGCGACGACCCTCTTCAAATCTCATTCATTTTTAATAACTTTAGAAGTAATGAACACTCTTTTAACGTTCTTGGCCTAATTTTGAAATATAATTCTAATTTTCGATATAAGTAATCATTAAAAAAATTGAATTTTCTCTTCTAATGTTACTATATATTATTGTCAGGGATTTTAATTTTTTATTTTTAAATTTTTCAAAAAAAATTTTTTTTTATTTTATGTAAAAATGCATTTTTTTTTTAAATATAGTTTTTATATCTTCATATTATTCTGTCTCTAAGAAGATAAATTCAGAAAAAGTGAGGAGAATAAAATTTTCTTAAATGATTTATGTATACGAATGAATATTAATTTTTGTTGAAAAATATTAAGACATTGGTAAAAAATGTAAGATATATTATGAATATGAATTGAACAATATGAGAAAAATTATTATCTTCATGTAAATTTTAAACAAGAGCCAACGAAAAATTGTTTTTTGTAAATGGAAACAATTTTTCATTTCAAAAAAGAAATTTCTGTAGAAAATGGAAATTTTTTTTTTTCTAAAATGCATTAAAATATATTCTACACTTTTTTTTTGTAAATAAAATGATTTTCACCTTTTTCAAATGATTGAAAATAATTTTTTCTATCATTTATTTCAATAATTCTATTAAATAACGTCAATTTATTATTCGTATGAAAATGTTTTGCCATCATAAATTCGATAAGAAAAACTTTACGTCAACTCCAGTTTTGATAGTCGAATTAATGTTTTATTCTCCTCATTCTTTTTTTCTATTTTTTTCTTTTTTTTTTTTTTTTTTTTTTTTTTGTTAATGGTCTTCAGACTGGTTTGCTCCAATTCTACATTTTATCCTAGTTTGAGGGAATATTTTCATTTTCCAATATTTGCTCCAATTTACATCTTCTATGATTCATTTTACATATTCCATCTCGTATACTTTTTCCTGTTCTTTTTCGTTTCTATGTATATATTTTCTTGTTTTTAGAAAACGCTTTATATAAAACCAAAATGTGTCTCTCATTAATAGAGTGATAATAAAAAAAAAAATTACTTCTTGAATAAATATATATATATACTTTGGACTCATTTCAAAAGTTGGTCAATATTAAAAACTGACATTCTGTATAATATAAAAGTAATTCCAATAGTTTTTTTTATCACGTCTTTATTTTTTATTTATTTTTACTTTTTTTTATTTTAAAGGGGAAAATTATATTTTATTTTTTTCAACTAATGAACATGTATCAAATTTTCTAAATAACAATGCTAATTTCGAGCAATGCAACTCAAAGTGATATTCACTTTAATTTAGACGCTGTGTAGTTGTTACTTTATCAGCCTTTGTTTCCTAGAATATCACTCATCTTAAGAGAATCAATTTTCTAACGGTAAAATACATCGACATTTCTGCTTTGAGAAAAAAACGGAAAATTTAAATTTAAATATAATGAAAATATCTCTCAAGTAAAATAATTATAATAATATTCAAATTATAAACAATTTTTCTGTCTGACTTAAATGTTCTTTTACTACTTATACTGAAATTTAAACAAATTCAACAACTAAAACTTACTTTTACTACCTGTGATAAAGATTTAAACATTAATGTGTCTGACTAAAACATACCTTTACTACTTACACTGAGAAAAAAAGTTTTTAAAATAATTTTTTTTGCGACTTTTTTTTCTTTGTTTTAAAGCACAAATTTCTTTTGATTCAAAAAAAAAATTATTTATTACATAAAAAAATTATCTCATCAAAGAAATTTTCTTTAAAAAATAATTTTTTTTTGTAAAAATTTCTTTGATTTAAAGCACCAATTTTTTTGATTCAAAAAGAAGTATTTAAATCAAAACTTTCTTCTAATCCAAAAAACACTGTTTTTATTTTAAAGAAAAAATTTATTTTGGATGAAACAAAACGAGTTAAAAAAAACTGATTTCTTCTTTAAAAAAAATTTTTTCTGGTGTACGACTTTAATAACCAGAATTTTAATAGATGTCTGACTAAAATTTACTTTTACTACTGACAATAAAATTTAATTTTACTTTTACTGTTGACAATAGAATTTTAGTTTAATTGTTCCGTCGTATCAAAACTTAATTTTACTGTTTAAAACACAAAAATATCAACTTTTATATATATATATATATATATGTCTGACTAAAATTTATTTTTACTACCTACAAAAAAAGGAAAACAAATTTTTTAAATAAATCCATATTTTTCTACTTTTATTCTATTTTTTAATTTTTAACTTTATTTTACTCTTTTTTTACTCCTTTTTAACTTCTTTTTATCTTTTTTTTACCCTTTTTACTCTACTATTTTAACGTATTACTTTTTAACGTTCAATTTTCATTGATATCACAATAATTTCTTTGGTTTTCAGTATAAATGCTCGTTCACTTTTTTTTATGGGGAAATATAATCCTATCACGACTAAGTCCATTTACTGTTTTTTCTTCTTTGTCAAACGTTATATACCAATAGGATTATTGTCTTCGATCAGTTTGTTCAATTCTTTTGTATTTTGTCATTTTAGATAAAGTCTAACATCTGACACTATTTGTTTTCTTTTCAGAAAGTCACATTTATGTATTTTTTTTTTTTTTTTCTTTTTTGAAGAGGCATTACCTTTTTTACAGATTATAAAAACAAAACATAATCTCTTGGTAATTCTATACAATAATAATAATAATAATAATAATAATAATAATAATAATAATTTTTTTTTCTTCAAAATATATAATATAAGAAATAATCATTTTTCTAAATAATAATAATAATAATAATAATAATAATAATAATAATTTCAGTCCATTAAATAAAATCTAATCAAGCGTATAAAAGAAAATTTGATATCAATAGATTTTTCTTTCAAAGAAATATATAACAAGAAAGGGAGATTTTTTTTCTTTTTTTTTTGCAAAAAGAATCAAAACATAGACTCGTCTCAAAGGATCTGTCTATACTTAATCCAATATCTATTGTAAATATTCTTTAATAGAAAAATGTATTACAATTTTATGTTTATTTAAAATTTTTGGTAACTAATTATATCAGATAAATAATTTTTTATTCAATTTAATTATAATAATTTTTTTTATTCAATTTACTATTTATATAAAATAAGTGATATACACTAAAAAAAAAAAAATTTATTTGATTCAAATATAATCGATTACATGATTTAAATAAATATTTACTTGAACCAAATAATTTTTGAAATCAAATAATTGAATAATTAAATAAACTTTATTTGAACCAATAATTTATTTATTTGAAACAAATATACCATGTCAAATAATAAATTATTTAATAGAAAAATAAATATTATATAAAATTAATTTTTTTTTATTAATTTATATTTATTCATTTTCTTTCGCATTATTTAATTTGAAAATAAAACTTAATATAAATTTTTCCAATTGTTCTAGATGACGATAGGAGGAACTCAAATCTACGGACCAACGGGACCAAGACAACCGGAGGTTTGGGGTAAAAAAAATAAAAAAAAAAAAAAAAATTGAAGGTACCAAAAAAGAAATTTATTCTCCACTGCCGAGTTTCCTCGACTGAATTTTCAACAATGAAAAATAAGGGACAAAAAAAATAAAGGAGAACAACAATATCATATACATTATATGAGTATTAGTGAGGACATTGTGTATAAAAAAAGGGGGGGAGGATATAATCGACAAAAAAAAAAAAAAAAAAAACCGCAAACAGATTAAGAAAAAGACGATCGGACCATCTTCGATCCTCCCCATGTTATTCTTTGACATTTACACATACACACACGTGTAAATCGAATGACTTTATCAATCACCATCATAGCATGTTACGCACCATCTCCTGACTATATATATATATATATAGGGTGTCACTCAAAAAGCTAATTTTCCATCATTCAAAAAAAAAAAGTTGACAAGAAAAAAATACAAAAATATTCCCAAATTATTGAATGTGTTTATTCTGTTAATAATATATTTATATAAAAAATCTCATCGATTTTGGAATATTTTCTCAACAAAATAAAAAATAAATCTTGTCACTTTTTTTTTTTTTGTCTCCCAAAAGTAGATCATTAAAAATAATTTTCCCATTGAAAACAAAAAAAAAAAATACAATTTTCAAATTAACTTTCACCCATAATTTTTGGGTTTCCATGTACAATTTTTTTGTACATTGTATAATATTATTGTAAAATAAATTTGTACAGTGCTAGAGTTGAAAAATAGTACATATTATTCTATAGACATAAAATATTATTATTAATTAATAATATTAATCTTCGACATACACTCATTTTATACGATTCAGATAACATATCACAGCGATTTTTTTCTAAAAAGAAAAAAAAATACTCCGAATTAAAAAAAAAAGTTTTGTTTTTTTTTGAAAAATAATTTTAGCTACAAATTCGGAGTCAATTTTTTATCAATATTTCAATATATATATATAGTGATTTTAAATATTGTAAATGACAAAAACTATAATCGCATCGAAAAAAAATATAAACTGTTAATAATATATATTATAAGGGGGGGGGGAAGGGGAAAGTGAGGATATTTGAAAATGAAAAAATAGTTTGAAAAACACATAAAAAAAAGGGCGGAAGAAAGTGAGTGCAAAAAAAAAAACCAAAAGGGAAGAGAGGAAAAAAAAATGTTTGAGTGGCACCCTAATCGTCTCACTGCCTTTGTCCAACCTACGCCCCCTCACAATCACTCTCCTCTATCGCTCGTGTACATTTTACCCCATCTCCATTGTGCCCCGCCACACACCCCCTTCTTTTTTTTTCAAGAAGCCACGCTTCGAAAATCGTCGCTTAACCGACTTGTTAAAAAAAAAAATAAAAACTTTTTCTATTGTGCGAAAAACGCAGGAAAAAAATAAGACACAAAAAAAATGAAAAACAAAAACAATAGTAAATAAAAAAAAAAAATAGAAAACAATACCAAAAATTAATTTTACCTAATTGTATATAAAAAATCGGAAAAAGAAATTTTTTTATAAAAATATTATTATGGAAAATTAAAAAAATCTGTTACAAATGTTGCGTGTGATAAAGAAAAAGCGCGCCTTTTTTAAAGTCTTGACAATAAATTGTAATTGCATTTTTCTAAATATATATATATGTATAGTCGTGGTAAAAAAAAAGAGATTTTCGAAACGTGGCCGTGAATTTTTATTACAAGCACACACAACCCCCCCCCCCACCCCCCTTGATGCCGCCGGGACCAATCAGCAGCCTTTCCTATATAGAACCTTTCATATTCACAAAACATACACACACGAATACATACACAGGCCGCGAGAAGGAAAAAAAAAAGTAAAGTCTCTCCCTGACGTCCAATCATGTTTACTTCCCTTGGCAAAAAAAAAAAAAAAAAAAAAAAATACGAAAAAAAATAAAAACAGCTTCCATGAAAAAATCCATTATCAGTTAATTTAGCGCACACCTCGAATGTGAGAATTAATTTCCGGTCAAGTTTTTTTTTTTTTTTCTTCGAACAAAAATAACGAGAGAGAAAAAATTTTAATTGTATTGAGAAAATATTATTTTATAAATTTTTAAATTCTAATTTTTCATTTAAAAAATTATTTTTATTTTATATATTTTTAAAGAACTTTTTTAGTGGACAATTAAAATTTTTTTTACCTCTAATGTCCACCCTCTTCCCTATATTAATTTTTTTTAACAATACTTTACAACGTTTTTAAGAAAAAAAAATTTTCTCTATTATCTTTAAGGGGATTGTTACTAAACGAAATTTTTAATTTCTAAAATGGATATATTATTTTTTAATAACAAAAATATAATATTTTTGCAAAAAAAAAAAAAATTTCTTATAATGTAAAATTAAAATAAATATATATATTTTTTTATTACACGGAAAAAAAATTTACCTAAAACAGCGAAAGGTAGGGAAATATACTCAGGGTTAAACACCGTTTTGAACTTTGTTTATAATCTTTTTTTTAAAAAAAATAAATTTAGTCTAGTCAGGGTTGGACACTTTGTGAAAATTAAAGCGAATTATGGTTAAAAAATTATAATAACATTTATAACATTACTGAAAACGTTTTTCATGTTAATTTTTTCATTTTTACATTATTATTTATAGTTGACAATTAATATTATTTATAACGTTAATGTTTATTTGTATATTTATTTATAAATTGTGTCAAATTCATAATTAACAAAAATGCTATTTTCGAATTGTGCTAACCATAACCAGACATGTTTCACGATTCTATTTTTCACTTAATTCTTTCTTCAATCATGAACCCCACAATACATGCAATAAACTTATCTTGCCGATTTCTTGTTTTCTTTATTCATTTTTTATGTTTAATCACATCGTTCACAAAACTTTTTTCGTTTCTACAAATGCACCGACGTCACAGCAGACGCTACTTTTGATTCTCCAAAAATGTAATGGCACAAAAAGTTAGGTTTCACTACGAGATGCTTCGCCACCTCCATGCATAGATGGCGCTAGTGTTTTTATTTTAAGAAAAGCTAAGTGTCCAACACTAAGTATATTCCCCTATTATACTAGAATAGAAAAAGTTTTAATTGTTTCAGTTAAATCTTTTACTATTCTTATAAAATCTTTCGCTGCTACAGATAAAATTTTTTTTTCGTGTACAAAAACTATAAATGAAAAAAAATTTTATTTGATTTAAATAATCTGTTACTTAACTATTATCAAATAAATATTAATTTGTAACAAATATTTGTTATTTGAATCAAATAAACTCTACTTAAACCAATTATAACTGTAATTATTGAAACAAATAAAATTTAATTGACTCAAATAAAAATTATTTGATTAAAAATTATTTGGTTTAAGAAAATATATTTATTTGACAATTAGTCAAGTAACGGATTATTTAAAAATCAAATAAATTTTTTTTTTCAGTGTATACATAGTTTTAAATAGTATTTTTTAAGAAATTTTATTTTTTTATTGCCTTTAATTGTCAATTATAATAATTTATAAGAATTTTTCCCTCTTTTGAAAACTTATAAATTCAAATATTATTCTATTAAATTATTTTTACTCAATTTTTTTCTTTTCAATAAAAACTTGGTGGTTGTAAAATCAAATTATTTCTCCCAGACGTTTATTCTATTTTAAAAGCATATGAAAATATGAAGATAAAAAACTCTTCAGGCGATGACAATTTTTTTTTTTTTAGTCCCAAGGGATCTTCATGCTAAAAAGCGTGGGAAGATCTATATCTTCTGAAGGGATGGGGGGGAGAAACGTTGTAAAGTACAGTTAAACATGAAAAATATAATTCACACACACACACTTTTTTTTAATTCACCAATTATTAAACGCTCATACTAATCAAAATGATGCTAAAAGAACTAAACTAAAAAAAATTATTCTAATAAATAAATAATTCAAAAAAAAAATAATGCTAAAAAAATAATATTAAAAAAAAATAATAGAAAAATAATAATAGCAAAAAATTCTCCCAAAATAGAAAGCGCAATTCATTTTTAAGATCAAATTTTTTTTTTTTTATTTATTGAAAAAGAAAAATGGAAAAAAATTCGACTTTCCTATTAATCTACTTAAAAATGAAACGTTTCATTTTTAAGTAGAATCTATTCTTTAATCAAAGTAATTTTTTATGTCGCACATCACTTTTAATAACGAAGTAAATATTTCCCCCGCAATTTTGTATTTTAGAGATCATATTTTAGTGCAGAAAAATGAAACGACAGGTTTCTCAAGGAATTAAAAAGTTTTTCTTTCATTAAAATTCAAGTGCTACGAAATTTATTCGTTTCAATAAATTTTTTATTTAATGGATTTAAACATTAAAAAAAAAAATAAATTATGTACATATAAGTGTTACTAAATTTTAATAGAGTATAATAAATTATAAATTAGCGTTTTTTTAGTTAAAATTTTTTTATATATTAAAAAGATAAATAAAATGTCATTAAATTTTTTTATTACAAAAAATCTTTTATGTTTAATATAAAATTTTAAAAATTGTTACAATATATATAAAAGGCTCTATAATCGCAAATTCCTATTAAATTTGGTCGAATATTTAAAATTGTACTTTGAAAAAAAATGTTTATTTGATTTAAATAATCGGTTACATTAACAAATAAATGTTTAATTTGAATCAAATAATTTTTATTTGAATTAAATAAACTGTGCATGAACAAATAATTTATGTACTTAAAACAAATATCCCAGATAGCACGTAAGCTTGTGGCAACCTTGCCGCGCAATATTGCCAACCTTTCACGGCAAACTTGCCGCAAGCTTCAAATTCCCACCTGATCCAAGCTTGCATGGTAAACTTACCGAAGATTGCAATGTTAGATTACCATGCAAGCTTTCAGTCAAGTGGAACATTTGAAGCTTGCAGCAAGTTTGCCGTGTAAGGTTGGCAATATTGCGCGGTAAGCTTGCCGCAAGGTTGCTGCAAGCTTACGTGCTATCTGAGATCATTTAATCGACTCAAATAAAAATTATTTGGTTCAAGGAAATATTTATTTCATAATAGTCATCAAATAATTATTTGAATCAAATAAATTTTTTTTTCAGTGTAAATACGCAACAAATAAGAATTGAAATATATATATGAAAGACGAGAGAAAAAAAGAAACAAAAACCTGTTCTTATTTTCTGCTAGCGGTTCGATTTTGCAGGTCAATGATCCTAGGAAAGTTAGCCTGCATTTCCGAGGGTGCGATATTTGAACTTTGATAAGCGTGAGTGCACTCTCAACCGCGCTTAACACTTGGAGCATATCACGTGCTCGCGGTTTCGATACGCATCGGCGAGCTGAAAATAGCCACCCAAAGAGAAAAGAGGGCGCGCCATGCTATGAGGGTTTTGTGAGGATCGAAGAGAGAAAGAAACTACAAAAAGAAAAAAAGGGACAGAATTGTCGAGAGAGAGAGAAAGAGAAAAATGAAAACCAGGAAAAAGAGAAGAGGAATGCGACATCGAGGGTGACGAGGAAATAGAGAATTCTTCAAATTTCCTCTCGAATTCGAAATCTGGAGCATACACCCACTTAAATAGCGAAATGAACGAGTTCACATTGAGGGAACAACGTGGACATTTTCACCCCCCCCCCTCCCCCGCTTCCCCTCTTTTTATTTGTTTTTCTCCTCTATATATTCTCTCTTTTATGTCCCTTTTCCTTCTCTCATAAAAAATTACAATTTTTTTTTTTTTTACTGAACTGCGAGCACGGTCAATCGAAACAAAAAAAAAAAAAAAAAACTCACATATCCTTCCTCAACATACGTATCTTATGTATACCTCTTATGGATTATTCATCTGCACATATTTATAAATAATAGTGTATTTAAAAGTGTCTGTGTATCATACACAGACCCATGTATACAGAGAGAAAGAGAGAGAGAGAGATAGAGAGCTTGCACGACTCGGGCCGCGCCTTTGGCGTATCGACGAATGTCGCGAACCAATCAGTGCCAGGTTCCGATTTTTCCTCTGCACTCGTCAGCAAATCAGATCTATTGAAATTGCAAATTTTAGCAAAAAATAAAAAGCACATACACAAAAAAAATAATTGACACGCAGAAAAAAAATATTCAGAATGATTATAAACAACGGAAGAGCACAAAGTGAATACCAAAATAGACAAACTTTATATATATATATATATATATATATATATATATATATATACAATATGGTGTATGTATACAATATCTCTTGACACGTATGGTATAGACAACGCTTACGATATACATTATTTATAACCATCCATATATGTGAAGATACGACCATATGTATATATTATAGACTCTTGATTTAAATACAGCTGAAAAATCATAGAACACTGTTTTTGATATGTAAAAAGAATATATATAATGATTATGGTTACAATCATAACAACCATTACACAGAAAAAACGTTGGATAAATTTTGTTGCGGATAATTTTAACCAATGCTAATTCACATAGACAGTGGCGCCCTCAAGTAGGATAAAATTTTTTGCAGTTAATTCTTATACCGATTTTGGGGTAAAAATTCTACTTTTTTTTTAGTGTCATTGTACGACAATAGTGACCTAGTTCACTTTAAATACAATCCACGCATTCGCAATGATTTTTTCACACACCTAATAAGTTTATTACTTGTTTTCAAAAATATTTAAAGTACATTTATGGTGATTATGGTCATAACCAACAATCATTGATCAACCATTGCCTTCTTAAAAAATCACTCAAATCACGTCAGACTGTCCTAATATGTTCCAAGTTCTTTATTCTGAACTAACGAGCCAAGTACATGTTCCCAGTCATGTTTAATGTACATTTATGGTGATTATGGTTATTATTAACAACCATTTTATCAACTATTGTAGTTTTCAGATGACTCATATCACTAACGGACTAACTTAAAATATTTAACGTTTTAATTAAAGACCTGACAAGCCTAATACTGGTAAATAGTCTTTTATACCCACTTGGAAAGATTCCCCGGAAAGTGCCCCCTAGAGGTTCTATCAGAATTCCGTCGGAATTCCATCGGAGTTCCAAAGAATTTCCAAAGAATTTCCAATGGGATTCCGACGGAGTTCCGACGGAGTTCCAACGGAATTCCGATTAATTTTTTTCAAAATTTTTAGAGTCCTAATTCAGTCAGAATTCCGTCGGAATCCTATCGGAAATTCTTTGGAATTCCGACGGAATTAGGTTGGAAGTTCCGGC